CTGTCAGTAGTGAAATAAGGAATACCTAACAGGAACCAAGGTGAGATGATTTTTCATCCTTATGAGTGGACTCAGCAAGGTCCTCTGTACTCAGCTAGGATAAGAGGAATGGGTATATACATGGTGTCTTCTTTATATTGTCATTTCATCCTGGCTCAAGATGTAATTTTATTTTCATTTACAAAATAGTTGAGATTTTAATTCCCATATTTATAAAGATGAATGATCTGTACTTTTTCTCTTGGGATGCTCGCAAGATGAGGGAGTAGATAAAATGGACTTATTGAAGTAAATGGCAGGAATGTGTAGCCTGTCCAGACAGCATAGATTTGTGATGTCCCTCAGCAAGGTTCATTGACTTAGGAGTAGGAGCAGAGAAAGTAGACAGTGGGAGTTGCTCATAACATAGAACTCTAAATGGGAAGGCTAGAAATTGTAAGCATTGTGTAAAGAATGTGGGTATCAGAATTAGATCTGCCTGAGTTGGAGTCCTGGCTCTGCAGTGAATGAGATGCTTGTTCTTAGCCAAGTTATTTTAACTCTCTGAGCCTCATCTGAAGAAGGAAAACACTAGAACATGTCTTGTAGAACACTATAAATACAAATATAAAATCTATTTTTATCTATCAGTATCTATATTTTGCATAGTCAGTTTCAAGCTATAATTAGTTTACAATACTTTACTTGGTAGTTATTGTTATTAAATGTCATGGCCAATTTATTATTCACTCAGAAATATTTACTGAGTGCCATCTATAACTATAAATTTTTCAACATTAGGATCCAGACAGAAAGTGGAAACAAGTGAACTCCAGATGGCAGTCGTCTACTGAGAAAGCAGGAGGACTTAAAGAGCCTAGTGGGACTGAAGGGGATATTTAATAAAGTGGGAGGAAGGGCAATTTAGAAAGACAGGAAACTGGGCCAGAGAATAGGGTTCTAGAGTCCCAGGTTTGAGATGCAAGAATCTTATGGATGTCTCTATCTAAGAGAATGGTCTTCTGGTGATTGGCTTAAGTGATGTTGGCAGGTCATGGAAAGTGATGTGGTGGGAAGCTATGAAACTAGGAATCAACTGGGGTGAAAACAAGGGGGTTAACATGGTGCAGGATGGGACTGGGGTGGAGCAGCGTGGAAGAAAATGGAGCAGGGTCTAAAACTCACTGAGGAAGCTGGGAGCATGTTCTAGAGGTTAGTTTGTGTCTTAGGTGAGGAAATGGAGGTGATACATGATGGTTGAAAGAGGAGACATTATTAAATAAGGACAGTAGTAAAAGAATCTGGGTGTGGCTGAGGTCAGCAAGAAAAATTTCCTGCAGACATATAGTTTATAGGGAGTGGGATAAAGAGTATTTTTTGTAGCAAAGATTGTATGTGCTGTCATGAGGAAGAAGCCAGTTTTAGTTAGTTTATGATTCAAGGGAAAACCCTAAGACAGAAGGAGATTTGCTCGTAGTAAGCACTCTGTTGAGATGATGGAAGGGGCTGATACTATAATAAACAGAGAGTGGTCTGCTATCTGTTGATTTTGTCACCTACTCCTTGTTTTCTAGCTTTCTTTTCTACTGGTCAGGGTTCTATCCCTTTCAAGTAGGAAGGGAGTCCACACAGATAACCACATGTTTACAAAGCATTGGAAAGAATGATTGAAGGTATGGAAGTCAGGGAGCTTCCACTGCCTATTGGCTTTAAGGCTGTATGGTTATAGTTGTGATTCAGAGTCGTGATACAAAGCTGTTTCTGCTGCTACTGCTGTAGCCGAATTGCCTCATGCCCATGAAGCAGAAGTCACCTGCTTCCATGCATCTCTTTCCTCTTGCTTGCTAGTAGCCAAAGCAGCAAGAAGATGGCTTCCACCTTACTTCTGCCTTCTACATTGCCTGTGAATGTATCCCACTGGATTGAATTCAATCACATTCAGAATACTAGCTGCCTTGGAAATATAATTTTTTGTTTTTCCCCTTCTGACATATAAGAAATTACTTATAAGTTATCAGGAATTAAAGACAAACAGCAGTAAAGCATATTAAATACACTCATGTATTAATGTCTTTTTTTGTTGTTGTTACCTAGCTTAGATTATATAGCCTTGCTCCTATAATCTTTTCCTTATATCCTCTCATAGGCCACATCCATGCTCAGTGCTCAGAAACCTTGATTTGACTTCGTGGCACATTAAGAACTAAAATAGGAAAAATAGGCTAAATAACTGGTTCAGCAAGAAATTCCTTAAAAGTCAGTGTAGTGGACCTTTCAGTGCTGACACACCCCTCCCTACCCGTGCCTAAAACAGTTTAAAGGTCAGTTCTGGGTTCTGTGGTCTGGCAGATTCTTCAGTCTACGTTAGCTGAGACGCCTAAAATTTGGGTGTACCTACATGGGGAAGAAGGGAAGTAACAGGAAGTAATAGGAAGCCACACGAAGCCACACCAGTCGCTCACTCACACCACAGTTTCTTGGTCTCTGCATATCATTTTTCCTGCTCGTTCACATGTTTGATGATAACACGAAGTGAAAGTATGCTTAGCCAAGTCCGAGTTGTCATTATATCCAGTTTGTAGGCCTGCATCAACCTTTGTGGTATGGCTTAGCTCATATAGAACCACAATTCCTTGAGCAGCTCCTCTTCCTCATCTCTCTTTCTGTCGTTCTCTCCTGGCAAATCCGGGATCCTGATTAAACTCAGTCTTCCCATTTATTCCGCTCTCGCATATATCCTGCCCATTCAGTATCTTTACTTGGAAGTTGTTGTAGGCAGATTTCTAAGAATGTCCTCCTCAAGATTTCCATCCCCTAGTTAGCTAATCAAACACTGATCTAGGTACTGCTGCAAAGGGACTTTCCAGATGTTATTAAGATATAGATGTTTAAATAGATTATCCTGGATCATTTCAGTAGGCCTAATCCAATCATTTGAGCTCCTAAAAGCTGGTATGTTTCTCCTAGTGGAGTCAGAGAGATGTGGCAGAAGAGTCAGACAGAAGAGATGTGTAGGAGAGGTGAAGAGGCCTGGAAATATTCTCCCCTAGAGCCTCCAAAGAGGAACGCAGCCCTGCCAATACCTTGAGTTCAGCCTTGTGAGCCTCTAATCTGAGGAACTAGCTGAGCTGTGCTATTGTGTGGACTTCTGATCCGTAGAACTGTGAGGTGATGCATTTGTGTTGTTTTAACATGCTAAGTTTGTGGTAATATGTTATGGCGGTAATAAAAAATAATGCAGAAGTTAAAGACCTCAAACTTAACATATCCAATGCAGAACTTAGGATATTCCAAATCCTTCCACATTGGTTCTTCTCTGGTCTTTCCTCTCTCACTAAATGACACTATTATTCACACACTTGCTTGGGCCCAAAATATCAGAGTTATTGTTAGATTATTTCTTTTCCTTTAAAACCCAGATCCAACACTTCAAATATTTTTCATATGTTTCTATATCTGACCACCTACAATAAAGTTTAATTTATAAATTAGGCACAGTAAGAGATTAATAATAACTACTAATTAAATAGAACAATTATAACTATACTGTAATAAAAGTTACCATAAATCTTAGAAACCTCAGTATATGATTTTTTTTCTTTCCTTATTAAGTTGAGAACTTTCAGCTTTTCACTTAAAGGAAGAAGTTTGTGGCTTCTGTTTGTCATATCCAAATTGCCAGCATCACTCCTCTTGTGCTTCGGTTCCATTATTAAGTAAAATACGAGTTATATCAACACAAGCACTGCGATCCTGCCACTGTTGATAACCCAGACAGCTACTAAGTGACTGATGGGCAGGTAGCATATACAGCATGGACATGCTGGTCAAAGGGATGATTCATATCCTGGGCAGGATGGAGCAGGGTGGTGCGAGATTTCATTATGCTACTCAGAATGGCTCACAATTTAAAACTTTAAAACCTATTATTTATTTCTAGAAGTTTCCACTTATTTTCAGACTGAGGTTGACTGTGGGTAACTGAAAGCGTGGAAAGGGAAACCTCAGATGAGGGGGCACCAATGTAAACAAATTTAGGCATCTTTGAGAAGTTTCGATTCATATGTGTTTGATGACAATGTAGTTAGCTATATCCTGAAAGAAAAATGCAGTTGTATACTTTAAGTCAAAAATTTATGAAAGGTAGAGCTCTCATGATATAATGAGGCCGTTTCCCAAATAGTCATATTATAGTTTTGATTAAAACCTTAACTAATAGTTGTAAGCAATGGAAACTTGGAAATGTTGACCATCAGCCTTTTCTTATTGTTATCTGAAACCATCATCTGTCTCTTCCTTAGGTTTGAAAATGATTTTTTTATAGCAAATTCCAAGACTTGTGCGTCATATTTCATTTAGATATTTAGATTTCCTAGAAAGACATTTCTACTTTGGAATTGACTAGATCATATAAAAGCCTTTTTTTTTTTTTTTTTGTGAAGAAGATTTGCCCTGAGCTAACATCTGTTGCCAACCCTCCTCTTTTTTTGCTCGAGGGACATGAGCCCTGAGCTAACATCTGTGGCAGTCTTCCTCTACTTTGTATGTGGAATGCCTCCATAGCATGACTGATGAGTAGAGTAGGTCCATACCCAGGATCCGAACCCGCAAACCCTGAGCTGCCAAAGTGCAGCATGTGGACCTTTAACCACTCGGCCATGGGGCCAGCCCCTGTAAAAGCATTTTTATAAGTGATAATCAGGGTGGTTCTCAGAAATTTTTCAGGGTGCATGCTGTGGGGAAAGCTAAGATTATTTAATTTTGATATTTATTAACATGTTATTTTGTGTTTTGTAGTTGTATGATGGATTGTGGTACTCAAGAGGGCATCCCGTTGCTTCCTCTTCTAGCTTCGTCATCCTAAGTACAAGTCCAGCTATCTTGCTATATTTTTCCCTAATTACCGTTTTTGGCCTCATGGTACAAGGCCAGACTTCTGGCAGCAGTATCTTCATTTGAGTGGCATAACTGGGGACAAACTCTTGGCTCTTATGACAACACTAGAGGTTTCATATTGTTGCTCAACTTTTTATTTTCACTTTCTTGGCGTAATGTTTGTGTGAGTTGTTTTACAATTTCTTTCTAAGATTGTTTCTCCCCAAAGCTCAGAGCTTTTGGAACATTTCATCTTCATCCAAAAATGGAAAGGATTTTATCTAAAAGGCTCTGATAATTTTCAGTTTGGGTCGTAGAAGCAGTTGTGTATTCTGAGTAGTAGAAGCAGTAGTTGTGGGAGAAGTGGGGTCCATTGTGGTTGTAGTGGAGACCATTGTAGGAGTTAATATTTGAAGTGCTGAATTAAAGAAGGGAGGATAAATCGAAGGCTATGCAGGGAACAGTGGAGGTCCAGGTGGATAAGGTCTTGGTTAGAAAGGTGGATATGGATAACCTGAGCCGTAAGGAGGAGGGGGTGGTGGAATTCTTCCTGGACCATTGGGTGGAGGAGGGGGTGGAACAAGTTCTGGGCCAAAAGGAACAGGTGGTGGAGGAGGAGGTGGAGGTGGCTGTGGTCCAGGTGGATATGGTCCCCTGAGGCCTCTTTGACTCTCACCAGGCTAAAGGAAAGAAGAAATAAAGAATTTTAAATTAGATATTTCAAACTCAAGTATAAGAAGGTATACTGTCTGTGGCAGGCAGAATTCTAAGTTGGCTCCCGTGATTCCTTCTCCCTCCTGGTGCATGCTGGCCTGACCTTGTCGAGTGAGCCCTTTAAAAATAGGTTCTACAGGTCAGAGACAGAAGAAATTAGAGAGATTTGAAGCTGCAGCGAATGCTTTTCTATTGGCTTTGAAGCAATGAGTCATGTTGTAGAGAGGACCACATGGAAGTAAATAGCAGATGGGCAGTAGGAGCTGGGAGTGGCCCTGGTTCATAGCCCATGAGAAAGTAAGGACCTCAGTCCTACAAACAAGGAAATGAATTCTGCCAACAACCACGCAAACTTGAAACAAGAACACCCTGAGCTCCAGAAGGGAACACAGGCCTGGGAACCCCTTTACAGCCTTTTGAGACCCTGAGCAGAGAATCTAGTCAAGCCAAGGCTAGAGTTCTGACCAAAGAAAGTATGAGATAATAAATGACTTCTTTAAGCTAGTAATTTGTTATGCAGCAATAGAAAACTGTTACATGTATCTAAGTCACACAGTCTGAAAATCTGTATCAGAGAAAAGGAAGAATTTCTCCTTTGTCCTCTGAATGCCTAGGCTCTCAATGAAAGCTGACGTAGCATTGAATGGAAATAAAAAAAGATTGTGGGTAAAATTACATCCTTTCCTTATAGTAGAGCCTGTCGTTGGAATCAATTCCAAATGGGGAAAATGCCTCTTTATATCTCATTCAAGAGTTCAGAATTGTTCGAGGCTTTCAACACTAATGTGAAACATGTTATTGAGCACCTGTTTTGTGCAATATGCTGAAGTAGGAGCTGTGGGGATACAAACACGCCTTTTGTTAGTCTACAGACTGAGTAGCTACAATATAAGGCAGTACAAAAATGGCCCAAAGGGGAGGCAGGATGGTAGTCTCTGGAGTTTCATGGTGCCACATAGTTCATTTAGATATTTAGGGCTTGAATTCTGTCTCTGCTACTTGGAGATTGTGTGAATGTGGAATCCTTTTTGAACTCTTTTACCTCATCTGGAAAATGACGTTCATAAAATTACTCAGCTCCTAAGGTCATTGTCAGATTTGTTGTGAAATACCACCTGTAAAGTGCCTAGGGCAGTGCTCGGCTCAGGTATAGTACTCAATAAATGTTATGGTCTACTGTTATGTTCACACCTAATATAGTGCTTGCAATTTTTGGAAATGCAATTTTTGGAAATAAAACTAGCTGAAAGTGGTGCAGGAAGCAAATACATTAGGGATTTAGAGTGATTAGTTTTGGATAGAGGAAAGATTAAGGATTGTCTCATTGAGACGGCAGCCCTTGAAAGGAGGCTTAAATAATATAAAATGGGGAGAGGGCGTGCCAAACGGAGGGTAAATATGTGCATGCTCTTGGGTATGGAAGGACAAGTCTTGCTCTGCTGAGGGTTTATATGGGACACACAACTGCATTCCCTTCTGGCTCTCCTCAGACCCTTCCCTTATTTGTTTGTCTGACACTTTGCCCTTGCTAATTCCAAACAGTAGGGTTATCCTAAATCATCTGTCTCCTTAATTCCTAATTGCAGGTTCTTGAACAGTGGTGGCAGAGGTCAGAAGCCCTGTGCCATCACAAGTTTACGGTCCTTCAGCACTGCCCTGCAGTCCTTTCTTGTGTCTTAGATTTGCTCAACCCCGTTCCCCAGAGGCTTATAATTTTCCAAGTTGATGCCAGTTTTGTTAAAGTTCTCTACCTCTTCCTGAGCCCTCATCCGCACCAGCAGGATGGCTTTCCTCCTACTTCTCCAAAATAATGCAAGCAGTTAGAAATGAACTTCACTGATTTACTGGCCACACAATTGTTAAGTCACTGATATCTAGATATTTCCTTTCTTTTTACAAATGTTGTCTCAGGGCTCTGTCATTTTTCCCTCTTCCCTCCTGCACTTCAATATATGCCTTTCAACTGGCTTGTTTTCCTCAGAAAACAAGGATCACTTATGTTCAATTTATGTTGTTTGAAAAAGGTCCACTTTCAACTGTGCATCCCCTTGCTGTTACCACTCTCTCTTCACCTGTTTCCTTGATTGCAAAGCTCTCTGAAAGGGTCGTCTAGGTTTGCTAACCCTACTTCTCACTTCTAAGTAACTGTTCAACCTAGCTGCTTCCCCGACATGCCAGCAAAACTCTTTTATGGGGATCACCAATGAAACAAGAAAGGCCAAGGCACTTCCGTGGAAGAGTACTCAAGTTTGCCCTCTCCAGCCAGTGACAGGCTATTGGCTTATGGATGGCCTTCGACTAAGGGCTTACAATCCAAAGGCTAGGCAGGGTGTTTGAAAAGTTCAGGACTTGACTTTTAATTGGCAAAAAAATCAAATCCTTAGTTTGAGAAAGTATTTCGCATTATTTTCATTGTTGAGACAAAGAATTAGCTAAAAGTATCCTTGTCTTCTAAGGATATCCTGAAATCGAGCTAAAAGTATAGTTCATGAAAAATCTTAGTAGTAAATATCTGTTCTTTTCCTATTCTCTTAACCCAATCACAGTGATTAGCTTCCTTTCCACAACTGGACAAAGGTAATGAACTTGGTGAAAATGATGAAAATACTATGACAGAAAGAAAAACCAGCCTCTCAATGGGCTCTAATTGGAGCTAAGGAGCATTTCCTGGTTTGGGAACAGTCCAGCTAAGACATGGATACTTTGAATCTAAATTTATTTATATTTTAATGGGATTAATAGTAGTCCCTTTGTCAGATTTGCTTTGAGGGTTAAATGAGATAATGTCTGTAAAGCACTTGGAAAATTACCTATAACAGAATGAGCACTCAAAGGACTACAAGTGGAATATTACTCGTTATCCTGCCCATATGCAAAGGGTGTTCTACCCTTTCCATTTCTTTTTTATTTATATTTTATTTTAATTTTTATTGCAGTATCATTGGATTATAACATTATATAGCTTTCAGATGTACATCATAATATATTTAAAATTCTGCGTGGGTTACCTCATGTTCACCACCCAAAGACTAATTATAATCCATCACCACACATGTGCCTAATCACCCCTTTACCCTTTGCATTTCTAACATTCAGTAGTTATTAATCATCATGAATCTCATATGATTAAGTTGGAGAAAAGCTTATTTCTACTTAAACTACTTATACTAGACTGCTTGTATTATTGAAACTCTTGAATTTATTTTGCAAAAACAAAAAAATCATTGTTTAGATAATCAAAGCCTGATGCTTTAAGAAAGTGTTTTTTATCTTATGTTCTGAGGTTAATAAAGCATTGAAAATCATCTTTAAGAGCAGGTCAATAAGACATAATATGACCTTTTAAATATGTCCATATATTTTATTGGCTTATCAAAAATTATGTCACATCTATAATGCACTTAGTAATGTGGCCAAGGTCAGGTTGCCGGACTGCTCTATCAACTGACCTGCTTCTATTCAAGTTTCTGAGAGTAGGCAGAAGAAGCCTTATTTCATGTTTCAGAAGGATGTAATTTTACGTTACCTGCTTTGTGGAAGTCAGAGTCTTCTGAAAAACAGTTTTTCTCTTTTTCCATTTGATATAATAGATTTTGCAGTTCTTTGGTAAAATTACTCTGGAATTAATTTCCTCTTCCAAATACTGGAATTAATCTATCCCTACTTCGAGACTCATTATCATTCCACTACTTTCAAAAGAAACTTGGGTCAGCCTGGTGGCATAGTGATTAAGTTCGTACACCCTGATTTGGTGCCCCGGGGTTCTCAGGTTTGGATCCCAGGCATGGACCTAGCACCGCTCATCAAGCCACACTGTGGTGGCATCCCACATAAAATAGAGGAAGATTGGCACAGATGTTAGCTCAGGGACAATTTGCCTCACAAAAAACCCCGCTAAAAATCAAAAGCCAAAAACTTGTGGCTTTTTTTTTTTGTCTTTTGCAACTTTGAATATTTAGTAGCTTTCATAGTGCTTAACCTGGTCCTTCACATGTGGTTAATATAAATGTTTATTGTTTCTCAAAAGTTAGCATGCAAAGATTCTCCTGAGTCTTTGGAAAAATGCATATTTCCAGGTCTTATTCTGAGACATTCTTATTCGTTCTGGGATGAAGGCTGGAAGACTGTATGTTTTTTTGTTTGTTTTTCTGTGGGTTTTTTTGGTGAGGAAGATTGTCTCTGAACTAACATCTGTGCTACTCCTTCTTCACTTTTTATATGTGGGATACCACTGTAGCGTGGCTTGATGAGCAGTGTGTAGGTCTGCACCTGGGATCCAAACCTGCGAACCCTGGGCCATCAAAGTGGAGCATATGAACCCAACTACTATGCCACCAGGCTGGCCCTGGAATACTGTGATTTTAATAAGTAAGTCACAATGCTCTGAAGTAGAGGATCCATGAACTCTATGTTGAGAAAAACTTTCTTAACTGTCCCATTTTATAGATGAGGGAACAGAGTCCAATCAAATTAAAAAACATATTCAAGGATATTTAAATACTGTCTTTAAGTATATTGGATCAAAAATTTGCACTTAATTTGTTTTACCTACCTGTGAAATTGCTACTGTACAGGGACCAGCATTTATATGTGTCTGTATAATGCAGTCTGATGTTATAGATCTAAACTGTCCAATACAGTAGCCATGAGCCATGTGTGGCTTTTTTTCAATTAAATTAGATTTTAAATTTAAATTTAAATTAATGCACTAGATGCATCAATGACTGATAGCTACTAATATATAAGGAAGGGTAACATCATTAATGTGAAAAGAAATCTGAAGTAATAATAGTGAGAAAATGTGAAGACATGATTAATGAGACTTACCGAGAAACATGCTACAAGAGCTAAAAGGCCCAAGACCAAGCACGGTGGTTTCATCCTTATGGTTCTCCCTGAAAATAAGCACAGTGGCTGATCAGCACTCCTTTTCTTTTCTTTTTTGTTGAAATAATTTTTGGGAAGTGTCCCAACCCTTGGTATATGAAGTAGTGCAGGAATAGTACTGAGGCATTTTAAGGAATTTGCCTAATGTTATTTTGGACTTAGATTAATGTGGAGCAATATTGGTAGGCTTATACCATTTAACTATAAAATGGTGGAACTAGTTTTCACTTTCGACTTGTGAACTAACACTGAAGACAATGGCAAGAGTTGTTCATAAAGTGTTTTAGACAATAGAAGCTTTTATGAGTAAGATTTTTGATTTCAGAAGTAACAACTTTGAAATGGACAGTTATTTGGATTTGAACATCTTGGTATTTTTAAAGAGTGGTTAAATTATTTTATAGATTATTGCAGACTTGTATTTGAGATGGTATGTTTTAACTAGATGATATGTGTGTATATATATATATATATATTTTTTTTTTTTTTTGCTGAGGTTGTTTCACTCTGAGCTAACGTCTGTGCCAATCTTCCTCTATTTTGTATGTGGCTTGCTGCCGTAGCATGGCTACCGACCAGTGGTGTATGTCCATGCCTGGGAACTGAACCTGGGTCATCAAAGTGGAGTATGCCGAACTAGGCCATGGGGCTGGCCCTAGATCATATATTTTAAATTCAATTTCTTGGGACATCTCAAAAATAAGAAAAGGAAAAAAATTACTCTCCTAGATATAGTTTAAAGAAAAATTGTCACATAACGTATATCCTAGTTTTAACAACATTCTATTAAGTTATTGTAGTCTGTGATAAGCAGTCTCAAACTACCTCAAAAAAATCCATGTGTAGTACATCAAAGACCAGGGCAGAGAAAAGAGAGGTGTCTAGATATTTTACTCTTAATTGGCTCAAAATTTACAATATATTTCAAGTCATGATAGCCTGAGTTTTGCGAAAGCAACTCCATGCACCTTTGTGCAGACCGGTTTTCTGACAGTCAGCTCTGCCTATCAGTTGATTGTGTTGTCTGAACAATTCAAGTCTTGAGAGACTAGGAACAAAATTTCACTGAATATTCAATTGCACACCATATGGTTATTTCTTTAAGCATCACTTTTCCTATGACAAATTCTTATAAAAAGTTTTTAAAAACAAAGGCAGACCTAATAATAAAAATATACTGTAGAACAGTTTTCCCAGAATACATCTGAGAGTATTCTGGGCATTATGAAACTCAAAAAGCATTAAGTACACCAAGGAGAAAAGTTGATTGAGTCTATATTTGGATGGATTAATTGTCCCAGCTGCCCAGCATGAATGCTTTACTCTGACAGAATTTCTCAAAATTTAGTGTGTTTTATAGCTTACCAAATTTCATGTAAGGCACATTTTATTCTCTTGGTGCAAATGAATGTTCTATAAAGAGCCATGAAAATGGTATCTTTGAATATCAGAAAAATTTAGTATTCAAAGTAAAAATCCTTCAGTTCATTTTTCCATGTACCTACCGTTCTCAGGGCTGATTATTCTGCTGGTGCAAATGACTCCTGCTGGTTAGCTTTTGAAAGATGACAAATTAAGGTGAGCAAGAACCAGAAATGTCAGCTCTTATATATATTGTAATGGATTTCTATTGGAAAGAAGGAAAAGGCTAGTCGGAAGATCAAATCACTTCTGGGTTGATGTTCTTTAAACAAAGATAGGAAATTCATTGTTGCCAATTTGGCAATCTTTTTCTGCATGTTTTCTTTTCATTTCGGAGGAACTTTGAGCCATTCAATATTTGGTGTTTCCTGAGGACACATATTTTATACAGTGAATTATAATGTCCTTTGTCTCAATAAAATAATCTGGAGCTTGCGGTGCTCTATTGCCTCTTTATTTTAAAGAAAAAGCATAAACTATTCTATTTCAAATAGTTTTAAGGGGTCATCTTTTGTCATGTATTACTATCACCATATACCCTATTTTATCTAAAAGTTAACTAATGTGGGAGACGAAAAATCAAATTATTTTAAAATTGACCTCTAACACAATCTAGGGAGAATTGGGGAGAAAAACTTAGAATTAAAATTAGAAGTTACAATTTAATGGATGTTGCTAAATACCACACACACGGTACCATGGCCAGTTATGTACAGAGGATCTAACTACATTGCTCGCCTGTTTAGACCACTGTGCCATATCTTGTGGGTTTCATGTTTCCATTCTTTTTTCAGTTGAAATAATGAAATTGTATTACTGTTTTATACTTGGGCATTTCCACATATCTGATCCTATGTATATTTCTCCCATTTATGTAACATTGGCTTAGTTGAGTAAATATTTTTGAAGGATGAGAAAAATGAGTGTTAGGATTAAGATTTTCATCTAAGTTTTGGAAACAGAAAAAAGAGAAAACTTCCACCCTTTTAGTGGTGGAAGAGGGAGAATAGAAGATTCCTGGAGTTTCTCCATCTTTGCTATATTTTAATTCTCTCTGTATGTATTATTTCAAGATGTTTAGATTATTTAAAAGGGGGCCGGCCCCATGGCCAAGTGGTTAAGTTTGCAACATGCTCCAGCCCAGGGTTTTGCCAGTTTGGATCCTGGACACGGACCTAGCACCACTCAATAAGCCACGCTGAGGCGGCGTCCCACATGCCACAACTAGAAAGCCCCACACCAAAAATATACAACTATGTACTGGGGGTTTTTGGGAGAAGAAGGAAAAAAACTTATGAAAAATTATGAAAGATCCTTAAATGGACATTTTTAGGAAGTTTCCTTTTGCCAATGAAGAGCTAAAACAGTAGTCTGAGCTCATGTTTTAAAAAGTCACATGGTGCTGGCCATTGTTAATTTGAGAAATTGAAACAAAAATATGATGACATATAAAGTTTTTGATTATGGGGAAATTATACAGAGATATGTCCACTCTGAAGTGGATATCTATGAGGAAGTCACTGTTTTATATTTTTGATAAACCCAGGCTTTGAGAAAAAGTTTTCCTCTCCTAGATGATTCTATAATCTCTAATTTTTACAAATTATTGTGTAATCATAATAGCTATTATTTATTAAGCCTTTACCGTATACCATGTGGCAGGATGAAATGAATTCTACGATCATTCTGTTTTACACGTAGATACGAATGAACCTGTCTGCTCACTTCAAGGCCTGAGTACTAAGTTAACCAGTATTCCATGTTGCCTCCCAAATGTAAATAACCTTCATAAACTTAACTAATGTTATCTGTACATTGCAGAGATTTATCAATTATGGTCAGGTCATTTTACTTCAAAGCCCAATACCAGCATTTATTTGCTGGTGCTATCAGACAACCTATTTCACCTCATTGTGCCTCAACTTTTTCATTTGAAAAATGTGGATGTTTATAATTTCTGTGCCATGGCGTTTAGTTATTCCTTTGTTCATTCTTTTCAATCATTCAACATTTATCGAATACCTACTGGGTATTACACATAGTGCTAGTTGTTAAAGTCACAGAATATTTAAATATTTAGTGTTTAAAAAACTTTTTGGGAGTCATATGTGGTATAGGAAAAAGAAGCCACACTTTGAGAATTGATCTTAGTTTTAAATTATCGTACTTAATTTCATTTGCTTTGTTGCAATTTCATTGCCTTAAAAAAATTCTCATGACAAAATCAAGTGTAATAAACTCTACTGTTTTGCTAGTCTGAACCCTCGTCAGTTATTGAACAATTACACGCCCAAACAGTGAAGATGGTTCCGTTTCTAAGTTAACATGGAAAGTTCAATAAACCACTTTCTTCTTTAACAATAATTGTTCGTCAAAGATGAATATCTTTTTTTTCTTGTTTTGATGCCAATGTATTTATCAGCCAAGTGTTTTAAATCCAGGTATGATCTACACTGTAATGGTTTGTTGGCTCTGAAGGACTTAAGAGGGACGCTGGCAAAACTGAAAGACAATTTCTGTGTGGTTTGTGACCAGCAAAGAACTAGAGCAATACGAGCCAGCGGAAGCACACATCTGTTAAAAAAACCAATCACTCAACTTAATCTTTAATTAATTCATGGCTTTAAAAGATCATGAATGAATACTTTCCAGAATAGTACCTAAATGAGCTCTGGTCACAGGAAATTCAAGGTGACAGTAGAGTCACACTATTGTTAGTGCAGAAACGTGTGTGACAGATGAAAAATATTTTCCCAATATAATTAGATTTAGCAGGATTAAACTCAGTCATGCAGCAGCCTGTTTGAAGTCTGCTGCCCAACTGTGCAGCAGTAATGACTCTCTTTCTTTGGCCCTGTGGAAAGCATATGAATGTGTTTTTCCTGGATTATTTAGAAACAGATTATTTGGCCTCTGGGATAATAACACCTTAAATTGCATCGTGCTTTTGAATTTACAAATTTCTTTAAAAAATTTGTATGGAAATATTCGTTGTATGTGGTTAGTCAATGATGCCATTGGGCCCTGAGAGAAAACTTATTCTACTGGATTGAAGAAATCTAGCATGATGAGATATGATTAATAATATGGCTTGCAGATTGAAGAAAAGCTATAGCTCTGACTTGTACAGCATGGATATTGCGTCAGACTGAGACCAGAAAGTTCTGTAACTTTCTGGAAGTTGGTTACACATTTTTCCCTGTGCTTTCAACTAGCCAAAGTTAAAAGAAAAATTCAATCAGATAAAAAAAAAATTTCACAATGTCCATAAAATAAAATCACAGTAATGCTATTGTGCTTTTCCACTCAGTACCATGAGAAAATTTTTCATTTGTTTTCAAGCAGGAAGTGAATTATTCTATAGTAAACATGACAGTGATCTTCACAGTATAACCTGAATGTCTCCAGTCCAGGAATGTAAATAAGTATACAGTTGCCTTTTAATCAGAATTTTGCTAGATTGATAACTCTGATCATATAACCAAACAAATTTAGCTCCCCTTTCAAGATTTCTCTTGAGCTATATTCCTGTCTTTATCTTAATACCCAAAATATATTTCCTTTGTCACGATTTTATTTTA